TATAAATGGAGATAAGCTAATAACAGAAAAAAAAATCCAGTAGCACTTTTCAATTAGCTTTTGTCAGTGACATAACTCTTTCATTCAGTGGCTGGATCCATACGCATTTTAAAAGAATAATTAGATATTTGACATTTGATGGTTTCCCCCCACAGTGAATACATTTTGGTCAGTAAGTGAAAGTATGTGAGTAAAAAAAAAAAAAAAACCCTACTTCTTTAATGATTTGTTTCTGTGTAAATCCAGCCGTTGTGTCTTTGGTCCTTGGCTACTGACTACTGGGCTCATCATTGTTGCCCCTTTTTTGTCTCCAAGCCTTGAAGTTCATTGTCGTGTGAGGGAGTTGGAAATATGTGTATGTTCATCTGTGTTCAATTGTTATGCATGGCTCCTCCAAGTGGCTCGGTGTGACTTTTGGAGCAGAAGGGAGCTCTATCAGTGTTGAGTTTTCCTCAGTTTGCCTCTCTGTCTCTCTCACTCTTTCTCTCTCTCTCTCTCTCTCTCTCTAGATGTTGTAGCCTTATTGTGAACATGTTTTCAATTCACAGCTACTGTACGTTTGTTAGCTGTGCAGACCTGGGTCGATTACAACTCGAAATTCATTCATTTACTTCAGCTGTCAACCACTGAGGGCGAGATTGATTGCAACTGTTGTAGTTTTGGGGACCATTAACACTGGTTCTAGAGCACCAGACCGAATAAATTAATCCTGAAAAGTAACTGAATGCATTTCAAAGAGCGAAAAGACTCACGTCTGTAGCTGTGACTGGTGATCTCTTGTTTCACCTCTGTGTAGATCTATCAACAGTATTGTAATTTGTTGATTATTCTCATGAAAAGACATTGAGACAGTAGTGCAATAACACCTCGACATGACTGTTGAGCGCTGTCACTCTATTATAAATATAAATATGATCATACATACAGGACCTGTGTATCTGTTAAATACCGTATTCTTACATTCCCTTTAAGGTTCCTTTCAGTGACTTTCCAGGTTGCTTTTCACTGCAGTCAGAAACTGGGTGTCAGATTAATATGCCATATTAAACTCTTGGTTTTTCTGATTAATCCTGTTTGTATTGTGGGACTGAATTGAAGGCAACCTGGGATAAACCCAGTACCTTAACTGGCCCTTTTCAGTTGAGTTGCTGCATTTCGAGGTCATATGAGTAAAAGAAAAGAAAAAAACATTTAAGAACCGCTTATCAACCTGTCTGCTTATCAACTTCCAGTACTATGTTGCGAGTAAATTATGACATATTGTATTTGTATGTATGTATGTATGTATGTCATCTCAGGAGTTTATTTTTTGTAATATATTGATCAATTTATTTATTTTTTTGAGGCTCCATATTTATGGTACAGTATATATTGTTTGTTTTGTATTGTGTTTTTATTTGTAACGCAATACTGCTTTGCATGATCTGATGTGACTAATATTTTTTTTTCTGTACAGATAAAAGTTAATAAAGATGTGGTTCCATCATTCCACTGATTCAATAAGTAAGATTCATACTGGTGGCTGTGCCTTTTGTTTGAGGGACAACGTTTCATTGAGAAAGAGGCACCTCAATTTCAGACAGCAGCCAGTTAATTCATCATTGGAGGTATTACTCAGCCTGTGTAAGCAGTTATATAATGTCTTCTGTGGGAAAACAACCCCCTGATGATGTCAACAGTGTTAGGCTCGAAGACCACAAACTTTTAACAGAGATTCTGTGTTACAAACTGGGGGCATGGAAAGATATGGGTGCTTACCAAGCAGGGAAGAGATTATATTTAGTGACATTAAGGGAAATGTAATGACTCAGTGTTTTTGGAGACATTTCAGGGACAAAGATCTACCACATCTTAGCCACTGCTGATTGCTTGCTGAATACTTTTTCATATAGCAAATACATGTAGCTGCTACTGATGCTAAAAACTAGTATGTTAAAACATATTTTAGAGATAAGAAGCCTCTTATAGGAACTACTAAAAAGTAATACAGTCTACCCAAAAAAGTATAATTCAGATATGTGAATGCTCAGCTAAACTAAATTATGCCATTATTCTACCAATTACAACATTATTTATTTTTTTAAGATACACTGACATATACATTATATCTACAATTATGTTACAGAAGTACTTAAGTCCTATTGAGACCAGGTAAGTTTATTGTAATTAAAAAAACATTAACCGAGATAATGATCCCTTACAACATGTTTTATTATTCTGAAACACGTTGGTTTCTCTGTATTAAAGAGTAGAAATTGGAGACAAGGAGTGAAGCTCTCTAAGAAAGTGATTTTGGGCTTTACAAAACTGACGTGACTTTATCTGAAAAATGTTTCACCATTAGCTTTGGCCATGTTAAAAACTGCTCAACTATACTCTAGGTGGTTGATTGACCCAGCCCTGCAATCTAGAAGGAGAAACCAGGTTTAAAACATTAACTGAGCTTCCACTGAATGCTTTTTTGAGAGTTCGCATGCAGTATAAGGTCAGTGGCAGCTTTGTTTGTTCTGTTTTCTTGCTCAAGGACACATCAGCAGCGCAGGTGGGCGATGCCTGAATAAAACCTTCAAGATGTCTCCTCTCGCTGAAAAACAGTCTATGGAACATTTAACTTACTGGCCATATAGGATGTATATTTCATTAATATTATAGAAGGGAAAAAAGGAGAACATACTTACAAAACCTACCACAGACATAAAAACATGCAAGAATATACAGTCGTTTTGAATGAGGAAAGGGTTGAACTACCTGTGCTGAGCCAGCAGATGGCACTATATACATGTGGAAATTTTGTCTATTTCTTATCTGCAAAGATTTGGGGTTAGAGATGTTTTGTATTCGTTGTACAGCATCAGAATGAGTCATCAGCCATCAGTCATGGCCAACTGGCTCATTTGGTTGAGTCTTGTTTGCTCTTCTCTTGCAGGTTCAGGTAGGTTCAGGTAGGTGGGACGGTGTGGTTGGGCTGACTGGGAGCACCTGGGCCCAGTGCTCCCAGTAATTATAAAAGCTGGCACTTTAGGCCTCTGGAGAAACTCTCTTCATGCACTTTGCACCTTTATCAATTTTCCAACACCCGCACACCATACTTCACACACATCAACTCACTTACACCACTGACTGTGCTGCTGTCATTTTTTGGTATTTCTTCAGTTATTTGCACCGGTCTTTAGAGCCAGTTATGACAATATGACAGATCAATGTGACAGCTTTCCCTCAAAAACCATTACTGATGTCAATAAGGACTCTCACATTGTCAGTGTCATACACTGCCTTCCTCAAAACTCATATAAATCAACACTTAACATCAATCTACTCTACTCAGCACATCACAGACATTTTTTCTTGATGCCTACGTGTTTTTTTTCTACCTTCTTTCTCATGTTTTCCTTCTCAAATTCTTTCATGTCCTACCTTTCTCACTTTTGTCACATTTAAATAAAGCGGGGGGGGGAGGGGAAAATGGGCTCTTTCAATAAGTACCAGTAACAGTTTTACATCTTTTACATGAACCACATTGTTTACATGGGAAAAAAGACTTTCTTTATTGTATAAACAGGGAAGCAGTATAAGCAAACAGTGTGTATGTGTATGTGTGTGTGTGTGTGTTTGTGTTTTTTTTAAATTATTATTCAGTAAACTAGTAACAAATTGAAAACATTTAAGAGATTTGATGACTTCTTGTATTCTTTTTAATTGTAAATCAGATTAATAGAACCATTCCTCCAACAACGCATGCCATTACAGATGACGTGAAACACAGATCCTCTCGCACTCTTTGTACATACTAAAATATAACGAAGAGGAAAAATGCTCTTGGTTCTTGGTCCATGGGACAACCAGTCAGTGGAGATCTGTGGGAACGTCTCCATCACATTGCTCATAGGGACATGGACGTGGGCGGTTAACGCACCAAAGCAAGCCTATACTAGCCAGACCCTGTTTGTCTTGGTGCTCATCCCACCCTGCTGGAGCCACACTGAGAGCGAAGGAGTATAGACGTGAGGAGGAAGGACCAATCATTACATTGGTTAAACACTATAATATTTAGATTTAGTTCATATAACATTAATATTTAGATTTAGTTCATATAACATCCAGCATGTTAAAGGATGGAGGGAAAAATCAAGCCATTTTGGCCTGTTGCCTGGTGTCAAGCACCACCACGGATGCCTATTTCAACAGATAAGTTTTGAATAGTTTGCTCCCCTCCTAGGCCTGAAAAATGACAGGTCAGTTACACTTTATAATAATTATAGAGTCATGACAGTGTAGGAGAGTCTTGTAAAGATACACAAGCACTTTGATGATGAACATTTTCAGATACCAGAGCTCCAGTCCCCTGGGACTCAACTGTATCAACAATCAGAAAATATTGCTTCATTTTGTTTGTGACAGCAAAACTCTCAAGGGCGTCGTTTGTTTTAGTTCAGCATAAAGAAATTCTGCGTGGGGAGGACTGTTGTGCATGTGAGAGAGAGAACGATAAAATGTGTGCACATGTGTGTAGGTCTGTAAATAAGCAAAGTGTGCCAGCTGTCTTAGTTCACAGTATCAAGTTATGATAGATCAAAGGCAGCTAAAATCAAGCTGACTGCTGCACAGTGAAAGTAGCATAACTGAACTACACCTACATTTAGCTGCTTTTCAAACAGCGAGCACACAGATGCTTCTGAACAGTGAGCAACAACGTTATATGTCTTTTGTGTTTCAATACAATACAAACAAGTTGAACACAGGAGTTAAACTTTGGATTGATTTTGAGAAGCATCACTGACAAATATCTGTTCACGCGTTTTAAGTTATTATTGTTTTTACAACGAATTCTGTTACACAATCAGAGTCATTTGTTCTCGATTGTGTCTGAAATGTTTGGGCTCCTTAGGATATTTTTACTGTTTGAAACTTTAGGTTGCATCGATGATTACTTAAGTTCAAAAGGTGGAGCCTGAGTTCATGTTCAGAATACATTTACCGATATCTCTTTGTGGCAAATCAAATGACACATTCACTGCCGACAACAGGCCAGAGAATATAATAAGGGCATTAACCTGCATGACATTTAATGACCGAGGTCTCTGTAGCGTATTAAATAACATGGCCTGTTCTTCTTTAAATAAATTCCTGCATAACAATGAATGCAAATTATGACTTACATAAATTCTAACTGAGTCCTTTCACTTACATTTAGGAGCTGCATTACTGGAGCAGACAGAAGGTCAGCGTCTGGTCAAGTGACACTGACGAAAAATAGGAACATTTATTTCTTCATCACTGAACTTTCTGGTCATGGAAATGTTTCTTCGCCAGGCTGCTCAGCTGCCGGCTGCATGTCTGTGTGTGCTACCAGAAACCAAATTTGACCACAATCTGTCAGCTTGTCAGAAGAACACTAGCAGGGCTCATGTAATGCCACATTTCTGTGTGAACAACCTCGCAGTTTCATGTTTTAGCAAACGTTTAGCAACATTTACATCTTAAGTTACATGTGTAGGGTCAATGTTGAATATTTAAACATGCCACATTTTGAAAAATATTAATTTTTTCATCTCACGTGACACAATTACATTAAACCCTCCAACTCTTAAGATAACGAGATGTGATTTTAAGATAAGTGGGTTGAAAAACAGTGTGAAGTACCATGGCTCGTTTCAGGCAACAGAGATAGTAAATAGCTTGTAGATTTCAGTGTCTGGTTTAGGGTTAAAAATAGAATGAGGTTTAGGTTGGGGTTAGTTTAAGGTCCTCAAACCTACAGAGCTTAAAGAGAGTCTAGAGATGCAGCACAAAGGCAAATTACTATGTGTGTACTATTTCTGCATCTAATAGTATTAGAGTTTAAATAGTTGACTGTCCATTTGACATTTTATGCAATAATCTACACAGGAGATTACAATTTTGAATAATGTCTTTTTGGGTTAATTTCTAAAAGACTTTTTATAAAATTTTAGACTCAGTATATCACTTATTTATGAAAACATCACCAGCCTCTTCTCAACTAAACAAACCATTACTTCATGAACACATTGCTTGACGACAGATTTAACCGCAGAGTTTATCTCTTCACTGTTGCTGTCTTTTAACAATAGCAGAGTGTGCGTGAAAACGTGATTGTGATACCAGACATGTGACTGTAATAGTCATCATTAGCCCACTAATTGACTAAGATGGGGGTAACCCTGCAATCAGTCAGCTAACAAAACGTGCTGTTACTCACTGGCAGGTAATGGCTTAAAGGAATAGTTCCCGACATTTTGGGGAATTACACTTATTTGCTTTTCTTGCTGGGAGTTTTATCCAGGTGAGATATCACAGGTGTGAGGAAACAGCCAAGCCTGGCTCCGTCCAGCGATAGAAAAATCGATAAATCTCGCTCACCAACAACTGTAAAGCTCACCAATTAAATGGTTACCAAAAAAATATATATATATATATTTTGGTTTTTTTTTTTTGGTCCGAACAAAAACTAAAAAGGCTAAAAGTTAGCATAACTTTCTGGAGAATGCCTTTAAAACTCCAACTTATATTTTTTGGGTTTTTTGTACAGATTAAACAAAAGAGATATAATGTGGTAATATGTGAGCTTTATGTGTGCTAATAACATTTGGACTGAGGCAAACCAGCTGTTTCCCCTCTTTACAGCCTTTGCACTTATACACTAAGTTAGCCCCTTTTAAGAGAAAGAAGAAGAGAAAGCTAATAAGCATTACTCAAAATATCTTAATTTTGAACTTAAAAAAACAAAAAACAAAAACACATCCCCTTTAAAAAAACATTTTTCTAAAAAGTTATAGCTAAAAGGTAATTTGATGCCTCTGCGTGTGTCCTCGGGACTCCCGGGCGGTTGTGTCGAGAGGAGGGAGGAGGAGGAGAGAGAGAGAGGCAGGCAGACACCGACCGCAGCAGCAGCAGCAGCAGCAGCAGCATGACCAGGAACCTCCACAGCGAGCAGACCTGACCGCTGTGACACTGCGCTCCCGTGGAAAGAGACCAGACCCCGGTCACCGTCTCTCCCCACCCTCCTACCCTCCCTCCCCAAAAGGCTTTCTCACACTTTAAACAACCGGAGAAGACGCTCCAAACTTGAAGAAGCAGAGCGGGCTGTGTCTGCTGTGCGCTTTAAAAACACTGATCAGGTCAGTCACCTTCCGCTCGGGGTTTTGCCGTTTTAGCTGAGAGTGTTGTGGCTGCAGCTTGGATGACAACGCGCTGAAAGCAAAAACAGCTTAAAAAGTCATTTAATCCTTCAACACTGAGTCTGTTTTTTTTAAAGAACACAGGATATAACTGTCGTCCACTGATATTAAATAGTTTCAATAGAATTAGTGAATAATTCAGCCTGTTTTGGGGGAAGTGGTTGAAACAGACTGTTGTAAATGATCCATGCTTGTCAAGAGTATTAAGACTTGTTAAGGTTAAGGTTTTTTTTTTTTTTTGGAGTGTGACTGGCTACTGATGGGGTGGGTGGTGATGGTAAGGGTGGGGGTGCGGTCACAGGACTGACAACTGGCACACAGTCAGGTGTTGGTCCATAGTGTGTCTGCGGGCCACAGGGTGAGTGTGAGTTTGACATGCAAACACCAGGCAGAGATTTTAACCATCAAAGTGATCACAACTTCTCAGGTGAGTACAAGTGAGTGTTTGTGTCTCACTGGGTTCATAATGCTGAGCTGGATTACACAGGGGACTCCATTAGAGGGGGGCAGGTTTGTGTGAATACATTTTAAAATGTTATTCTATATATTCTTCTCTCATGTCATGGTCTTCTGTGTCATGTGAGGGATTTAGATGTTGCACAACGTTGAGGCAGTTCTGTGTTTTTGAACTGAATGGAAAATCTTGGTCATGACTCAGCAATAATGTGGACACAGCGTAGGGGCCAACGCTGACTTCTCTTCTGAGGTTTGCTGTGTGGCTCTGTGGTAGCTGATGTGAACTGGCCTAATGTTGTTTTATTATGATGTAATAGTGGCACTTATACAACAAACTTATCAGTTTGTTGTACAAGACTCGGACTGTCACTGCCAACAGCGCGTTTGGTTGTTAACCTTATCTGTGGACGTCCATCACTTTGTATAATCTTCATGTCAATAATCTGATAGCACTTTGAGCACTGAGGGAAAACCTATTATTGAGAATTATTTTGCAACTCTAAAATAAATGTTTTTACATATTTAAATCAATTTAAGCTTTGCTCTTAATATTCATAAATATTAAGGGACAATTCAGACGTTTACATTACTGCAGACCATTTAAAGCATGTTGTCTACCTTCCAGGCAACCACTAATTTCCAATAATTTCATTATTCTGTTTAATAAATAACATGTAGAGATTTAAATTTAAATTTGCTTGTTAAATGTCCCTTACAATTACATCTGCTTTTATTTTAGTCAAACCTCATATTATTGAGGTGATGCAGCTGACGACGCTACGTCATCACACAATGATACATCTTAATGCAAAGTGGTCTGTGATAGATCTGTCTGTTTAAAGTAAATTTCCGTAAGTTTTTTATAACAGTGTATTGACACCAATTGAAACCTATCACTGCTTGAAAGACAGGAAATCAACCTACAGCAGCTTTGGAACATAGCCAGTTACGTAAAGTACATATCGTTGGTAATAAATGAACTTAAACATGCCAAACCATCTGTGTGGTCTTTGCAAGTCATGCTGTTATGTCTCCTAATATTGCTGACAGCTCTGTAAAAGAAAAATAGCATCATTATATCATAATACAGAAAACAAAGAAGTCAGATAAACAACACAAACAACAAAAAGTCAGATAAACAACAGGCAACAGACAGTCTTTTACCAGAAGTAAGACGTTTTTCTTATAAGCCAACCAGAAAATATATGACTGAAAAAGAGAGAAAGTCATAGAGAATAAACAACTGTTTATTCACACTTCCTGAAAAGTTGAATACCAAGAGTTACATATTTTTACAGATAATCCTGTAATTAATGAGTTACAGGGACATTACTCATTTTACTGACTGCATTTATCAGAATATCAAAGGTTCTAAGTTTATAAAATGTCATCGCTGATGTGCCATTGCTATTTTAAAACAGGATAACCTATTATATATTTGAGGTTGAGACATAATATCTATTTTAGAGAAGTTATAAAAGGTCATTTCACAGATTAACACTGCTCGGCCAGATTGATGTCATACTCTCCCTTTCACATCATGTTCATAATTTTGTTTGGAATTCATGTGGCATTGGGCATAATCGTTTTGTGTTTGCGTTTCAAAAGTGTCCAGCTGTTTGAGTTTTTGATCTTTTATGTACAGAATGTAGCACACAAATGGATTTAGATACATCAGATTCAAATCTCAAGAAACTTAAATCAGTCACAGGAAAACACATCACAACATATCTTGTACGACTTGTAATCTCAACATGAGTTGCTTTAAGTCTGACTGACTGAGTATGTTGATACAGCAGCAGTCAGAGAATTAGTGCTTATCATGTTATATAATTCCTAAAGGGAGGTGTGTACGTATGTGTATATGTGTGTGCACGACTGAGACTGATTTGGACTTTGCTCTGTTCTCATAAATGAAAAGGAGTGTCTCATGTTTATGTTGTCCCACACTTGTTTGATTCTTTGCAAACAGCATACTTCCATGCAGAGCTTTTATTTGAGTCGGTGTAAAGGCGCCTCAATACCAGGATTAGTTTTTTGACAATCTGTGTTAATTAAAAATACCGGAAGCGTTCAGTCTTCTGAGAAGTTGTTTTCAGTGGTTTCAAAACGCTATATATGAAACCTCTGTAAGAGCTAAACATAATCACTACAGGGAGGAAGATGTTCAACGGTGCATTTGTATCTGTATAAAAATACAGACAAAAAAAAGGGGGGGGGGGGGGGGTATACCGCCAACATCCTGATTTGTTTACTATATTTCAGCTTTTCTTATTGTTATTGTAAACATTTTCAAAAAGGCCACCTTTGATTCGATATTATCAGATGACATTGAGACCATGTTGACACAGTTCAGCCATAAGGTCATCAATTTGCTTAGTTTTTTTAAATTAGGTGTAATTATTAACTTCAAGGCTAAACATTTTCACCATTTACTACTTACAGCAACATTTTTTGATGCCGAATATGATTTATTTTGACATCAGACAAAGCTTGGAACAGGAGCAGGTGGTTTGCTGATGAAACATTAAGCTCCGGTAGTTAATCTTGTCTCCATTCATACTTAGTCAAACCCCAGTATCCGCTCTTCTGTACTGTACAATCTATATTGTTATTAATGAGCAGCAGGAATTAGACTAGCAGCATATTTTTAGCAATGCGATTTTTTGCAGTATTTGCCACCTAGGAAGTGACTCATGGTAATGGAAACATCAAAGCAAGTTTTCAGTTCTCACCTCTTTACATTTTGGACACTTTGTTTTTAATGCAAGGCACTTGGGCCATGTCTACACATTGTGAATTAATTTTAAAAAATCTATCTTTTTAACTAACTTTGTCTCTCAACCCCTGCTTACAGTCATTTTCCACACCCCAAAAACTGAAAATCAAAAGCCAATTTTCAGTTGCCCTCTAGAAGAAACAAAAGTAAGATGTTCTTTCTGTTCTGCCGTCATTTTTACTTGAAAGTAATGATGGCCAAACTCACAAAAATAGGAGCCAAGTTTGAATAAACCTTTAATTTTTTATATTAGTACTCGGTTGGTAATCCACCTGCGCACACACAGACATAAAGACACTCATCAGGCAGCGCAAACACACACACATACACTAATATGAGGAGTTTTCCGCGCCAGTGCACTTTAACATAGATATTATTCAACAGACACTAGGGATATCTAGCAACCTTTACCCTAATTTCCAGTTTAGAAAGATGCGGTGGCAAACAGCAGCTCCTTAGGTCAAAACCTCGGTCTCTAGTGGGAACTTAAGACTGACTCAGACCCCAGACCGTGGGTTCACTGGCGTTGGCACGGCTTGAGACATCACCAGTTCAGGTCTTGCTAAGGATGATGTATGATGTATGCAATCCGCCCACTCGGTTTGAAATTGGCTAATAATGATTAAATGCCGAAGGATCTTATAAATAAATAAAACAGGAACAAGGGTTGCCAATAGACTGCTTTCCCTCTGTGGAAATTTTTTTTACCTCTTTTTGTTGCTATCTTTAACTATAATATTCTGAATATTTGAATCGCCTATAAACCTGTCCACCTTAGTTTCTATTGCTACACCTGTCACGCTTTCCTTTCTAAAATGGCACATATGAAGGTTATGATGATAGTGGCGCAGATGTACCTCTCAAAACTCATAATAATGTTTGAAACAGTGGGTCCTTGATTTCAGATAGGCAGACTAGAACTCTCCCAAATTCCAACTCCAACTCTTGGCCTTGGGATTAGCTAGGTTGCTAATGACGATGGCAGTTCACATTACAGCAGACAGAGATGCTGTTTAATCCTTACATTCCTGTGAATTTGGTTTTGAAAAGGCTAAAAAAGACACCACCCTCTAAACTCTTTAAATGCTCAGTATTCCTCTCATTACAGCCCCGTGCACAACATGTTGAATGTGTGGAGAAAGCTAAAGCTTGACGGGCCTGCTGTGCCTAGTTGGACAATCGCAGCGGGGGGGTTAGCAAAGAGTCAATTGTTGATCCAACTCTGACACTTTTTTTTGCTCATTTCAAACCTTTGTTGAACCTTCCTTTTTTACCGACAATTTAAAATCAGTTCCTTTATTGGGTACGCCTTTTCCCGGTACACGTGTTTACAGTACGTTCTGTGAATGAGACTCACGTCATGTGTTGTTTTGTTATTATCCTGCTAAACACCAACTGAAGGCAGCACACTCCCGTCTTTTCCTCTCCACTTCGAGGAACAGGGCACGACCTTTCCCACATTGTACATCTCCCTCTTCCTACCGTGTTGCCCTCCTCTCACTCCCTGTAGTTTAGCTAAAAATCTTCGCCGTTGTGATTTCTCACTTGACTCCCACAGCTGAGATATCATTAACCTATGTGACGTCATCATGAATAGAAATTGTATGGATTGACTTTTCTGTTTATCTCTGGGTCGCTTCTCTCTGTCATTCTCATTTCTAACCATAGTATCCTGTTTTCAATGCAACACCACTCAGGTGTGTGTTTGTGTGTGTCAGTGTGTGGGACAAAGATAGATACATTTGGATTTGGTCCTCCTGTCATAAATGGGAGAAGTGCCCTGAACTTGCTGTTCACACATGTCCTCATACACATATGTCGTTCAGCGTTACACAATGGCACATACATGTGTTATGTGTGTGTGTATGTGTGTGTAAGGCCTTGACACTCCTTCCCCTTATCCAGCAAGGAAGCTCTTGAGGCTCAAGAGACTCATCAACCATTAACTCATAACTATTTAAAGGATTTGGGGGAAAGTTCATGTCCTCAGATTATTATTAAAACTGCAGATTCCCAGAGAGCAGCGTATAGAGAGCAAACACACACACACAGATATATACTACAACTGTGGATGCCCTCTCTCTCTCTCCCCTCTCTCTCCGTGTGTATGTATATTGACCTGCTCAAGTGTGTTATACCTGACTTTAAATCATAAGGTCCAATATGCTTATATCCTTACATGTGCAGATATA